GTATGAAACGAGAGAGAAACGAATGAATTAAATAGAGGTGAGGCGATTAGCGTGCTGGAGGCCAACGTATGATAACAGCGTCGAATCGTGTACGAGAAGAGAGATGACGATTGAACGCATGAAAATGGGAAAATTCGAATTCATCGAGATGGATGGACTGCAAGTGATTGAGAACGAAACAGAGAAAAGATTTTAGATATAGGAACAGAGAAAATAAAAAGACTGCCGAAAGTTGACGGTTCGTGTTAACAATTATTAGACTTAGCACGTAGTGTGTATCTATATACATCGAAGTATCTAAAACGTATCTCATGTACAAACGTGTTCATTTGTGTCTATTTGAATACAAATGTCGCGCATGTACGTATGGTTTCTCTGTAATGTGTGTGTGTGTGTATGTATGTGTGTGTTTGCATGTACGTGTATATATCATGTTGGCTTAACATTGAATTAATTACAGTTTAAATGAACTCATGTCGCGAAGCGTTACCGGTTAGAGCTTTCTTTTTCTTCATAATTTCCCATCATCGTTCTCTATCGCACAAGATAATCAGTCGATTTATAAATTATTATTTTTTTTTTTTTTATATTCGCTTTATCGTTCATTAAACTCGCTTTACAACGCTTAACTTCGATTTAAGTATAGCTGCTCTGTTTGGGTTTCAGTTAGTGGACGTTGAGGACGAGATCGCGCGCGGATCGCCGTTCCTCTTCGCGAAGTGCGTAATCGTCGAGTTTTATTTTACTTTATTCCCCTCTCTATTCTCTCCTCCTACGTTATCTTTCACTTCTTCCTCCTCTCTTCCCTTAATAATCTCTCCGTTCCACACCCCAAGTGAATTGTTGGTCACCTTCGTTCTCTGCTCGTCGGCCACTTTCTATTTTATACAATAGTATTATAGTACATAATTAACGAGAGATCAGTGGCGCGCAGTGGCCTCCGCGCGACGACACGAAGGGACCGAATATTTATCCCGATCTCTAAAATGCAGGTACATTTGTTAGCATCATGCGCCAGAACACAGTTGCGCGTTCTATGCAACGTATTTCCATCCAATGATCCCCGTGTCCCTTCGATCGGCCTTCGATAAGACCAAACCGTGAAATCCAGCAACAAATTCGCCAAGAACATTACAGATGGAAACACGTTAAATCGCGATGTGTCCTGTTCACGACGTCAGGACGTATCTAGACCTCTTAACGAAGACTGCAGGCGATCCGTGCGAATTTATGCACATGGCTCTATGTGTTACAGAATTAAGCACCAGGGTGTGATCGTCCTAGCACCATATCGACTTTTCTGTGTACGAATCTGTACTTTTTTCCTGGTGTACATATTAGTGTTATGTATGTGTGTGCTATATATGAGGCGTGTATGGCGCGCGCGCGCACGCGCGCGTGTACGTGTATCAGCGTACGATATAGGCCACGGCGGTTATGTCTTATGTATGTGTAAGTGTGTCGTGTAGTCAGAGTGTATGGCATTAATTAATCGTCGCCTGGATAGTCTTTCTAGTCCAAAGAGAAAACATCGATCGATGATGATGGACACTCCCGTTTCGATTGGCTGCCGCGAACGACGCCGGACATCGCCGAAGAGTTCTCAACGTCAGCCGGCTAGGCGAGCGATATATGTGTAAGAATATCATCGTGCCAATTGTTACCAAAAAAAGAAAAGAAAAAAAGAAAATTAATTGCAAAAAGAAATAAAGGACACTTTTCCATCGGCTGTATCAATTATTAGATTATTCTATGTGCATAAGTAACCCCTGTCGGGATTTCGTACCGTTCATCGTTGTTGTTTTAAAGAGTCGAAGTGAGGGCTAACACTGATCCTTTTCCTATCCTATCGCCGGCCCGGGGGCGTGAACATTGAAAGCTCTGAGACTTTTTCATTTTCTCTCTTTCTTTTCCCCTGTCGCCCTTTCACTCTCTTTATTCTCTCTTTCTTTCTCTTTCATTCTCTATCTCTCAGTCTCTGTCACTCCCACTCTAGCTCTATCTTTTTGTCTAACATGCCGGTTGACGATATTTCGAGCGACTCGGGAACTCATATCGTGCGCCGATGAATTCGCAGGTGTAGCTGCAAAAACAGATCGTTTCGATATAGTACAGCCATGCTCGTTTCGAGGTGGTCGTTGTTTAGTCGGAGGAGAACCTAATCTCGCGTTGTTCGGTTCAAACGAAAATTACAATCTTCCTAATGTATATAGACCAAAATATACACCAAATGTAAAATATAAAATATGACTCTCCGCTAAGTAATTTCTATCAAATTGGTAATTACCAATCTAATGTTAATTATTCCAAGTAAAATAATAAATTATGTAATGTATCTCGAATCATATTTGATAATCAAAACAACACGAGGTTAGGTACCCGTCGGTTTATAAATTGTAATCACCTCTTGGTTACTTCGAATTTGAAGCATTTTCGATGGATCTTTTGCGAATTCCACGCTGACTGCACCTGCGAACATAGGGTAACGAGACGCATATTCTCTCTCTCTCTCTCTCTCTCTCTCTCTCTCTC